AAAAGTGCATACGGGGAAATGTTTATCGAGAGTCTGTATAATAACTAGTCGAGAGTATATAACTGTGTATGAGTCTGGATAGAGAGATGTAGGTGACTATAGCATATATAGGTGCTTTGTTGTCTGAGGCCGTTCCCTTCGGTCAGAGCAATATGAATGAGTAGGTGGCCATAGAAACTGACCTATATATCCGTACAAGCGGCAAGCACTAATTCTACTTTAGCTGTGACAATAAGAATAGCAACAGCAATTTTCACGCTAGTCTAAGCGATCTGAGTCAAGGTCTACAGAATGGATATCAGATAAGCTGTTCGAGAGGATTCTGGAGCTCGGCTGAGCTGACCCGAATGTGTCAAATCAAGAGCAGATAATCCATTTGAGTTGAGAGCTTGTCACAAAACCCGGAAAGTGTTCACGTGCTCTTCATCATATATCATCATGCAGGACTGAATAATAGAGATTCTCTATTATTCACTCCTGTTATCATTGGCGAAGATAAATGTATATTGTTGCCACGCTACCACCGGGCACCGTTTGACAACTATACATCACCGCTCTACAACGCTCTACAACATTCTACAACGGTCTACAACGCTCTACAACGCTCTACAACGCTCTATAACGCTCTTACTCTACACCGCTCTTACTCTACGATAATTTGCCGTTTGGTACGATTGCTAATTAAATGAGCTCGCGTGTGCCATATTTGATTTCGCCCAAGGAACCGTCAGTGGATGGATTGGCAGTCTACAGTCTCTACACGGATGCATCAGCCTTGCCAGTTTTCATGCATCTGTCACATCATTGGCGTGCAGTCGCGTCCGGCTTTTTTGCCTCCGGCGGTCTCCGTTCCTGAATATCGTTGACATAGATCTGAATGCCGCGGCAAATTCAAGTTTACTTTTTAATTCTTCTTCGGTAGCTTCTAATACTGTAATATATAGTTAGAAGCGTGTTTGACTGAAGAGCACGCGGGGTCGCAGGAAAGAGTGGCCACGCGTGCGGGCTCAATTCGATAGATGCATATTTCTCGTTATATGAATCATCTGCTGTATGCGTCGAACGAAAACAATGACAGTGACAAATGTTTCTGCCGGACCATTTTTCTAGACAATGAACGCGGAACCAATGCAATACACTTCTCGCAATACCTAATTACGAATGCCAGACCGGTCCACCGTCGTCGGTGACAGAATCTACCCAGAAGCTGATGCCGCTACAGGGTGATACTCCATTAGGAGTGTTCCCAACTTTAATGTGATTAAATATATATATATATATATATATATAAATATATATATATATATGGTCATGGTCATATATTATATTAGTTTGTGGTTTAATGTTAATTAGGTTAGAGTTATAGGGTTAGGGTTAGGGTTAGGATTATCAATCATTAATAATTAATAATTAATGATATCAAAGTTGGGAACACTCCTAATGGAGCGTTAGCCTAGCTGCAGTCAAGACTACAGTGTGCTCTTACACACACAGCACCTGTTCAGCCTCCCATATATCACCATGTCCACACCAGCCTTCGTCTAACATTCGTCGCTACATCGGTACGATATAGATATGCTCACACCATAAAATCAATGCGCGAGGACGCCGATGAAGATGACGGGAAGATGAAAACGATATATACGTGTGTGTATGTACGTGCACGTCTGTGTATGTGCGATACATATATAGGATATATATATATATGTGTGTGTGTGTGTGTGTGTGTGTGTGTGTGTGTGCGTGCGTGCGTGCGTGCGTGCGTGCGTGCGTGCGTGCGTGCGTGCGTATGTGTGTGTNTCGCGAGGACTGCTGCCGATCGAGATGACGGTGAAGATGAAAACGTTATATATTACGTGTGGTGTTGTAGCGTAGAGCACTTTAGTTTATTTGCGACATACATATAATATGGATATAATAATATATGTGGTGTTGTTGTGTGTGCTGGTGTGTGTGTGTGTGTGTGCGTACGTGGCGTGCGTGCGTGCGTGTCGTAGCCGTGCGTGCGTATGTGTGTGTGTGTGCTGTGTGTGCGTGCGTGTGTGCGTGTGTGTGTGCGTGTGTGTGTGCGTGTGTGTGCGTGCGTGTGTGTGAGAGAGAGAGTGTCGTCACTGTGGCACGTAGATAGAGGTCATGTTAAGGACAACCTGCGACATGACAGGGAGCACGCACGTGTGACGTGTCGGGAGGGACCTCTGTTGACGTTGGCATGACAACAGGAGCGACATAATTTAGAAGCAATAGTGTGAGATCGCTGTCTTGGTGGCGCGCGCACGTGTATAGAAACCATGGTCTGTCCTGGTGGCGCGCGTACAGATAGAAACGCGTCAAATAGAGGAATCTGACAGACAGAAGTACCGAGATTCTAAATAGTGTTTGTTAAATGGGTCAGCCTTGGACTGATTCATGTAGTTGAATCGTGTCGTCACTATTTATCTAAAAGTACTCTCGCTACCTACTTATTTAGGCGGGTTTCCTTAAACGTAGGCCTGGGATGAGGTAATTCAATATTTTATTACATCTGAGGGCACTACAACCTAATCAATCAACGACTACCAGTTCGACGGTCGTGTTCGAACGCATAACGTCGTCATGTATGAATGTAAGTTCCGACATCGGCGTCAACAGCACATAATTCACTTATTATTAAATAGGCCGTGGCTACGCGTCCGGTCATATATTTCTTATGTGAATCCAACTATATTTTTTCAGTAAAAACAATAAACAAGTTTTTACCATAATATTACTTACCTTTAGGTATCTTATCAAAAAATGTGTTTTTGTAACGTTTGAAGCAATAGTAAATCCAGTAAAGTCAACGATTTGAAAGGGGGCGTGGCCTAATCGTGACGTGGATTTGGGTATCTGCGCTGAGCTTTGTAATGGATGACCGGACTCGTAGCCACTGTGATATATATATATATATATATATATATATATATATATATATATATATATATATATATATATATATTTGGTCATGGTCATATATTATATTAGTTTGTGGTTTAATGTTAATTAGGTTAGAGTTAGGGTTAGGGTTAGGGTTAGGATTATCAATCATTAATCATTAATAATTAATGATATCAAAGTTGGGAACACTCCTAATGGAACGTTAGCCTAGCTACAGTCCAGACTACAGTGTGCTCTTACACACACAGCACCTGTTCAGCCTCCCATATATCACCATGTCCACACCAGCCTTCGTCTAACATTCGTCGCTACATCTGTACGATATAGATATGCTCACACCATAAAATCAATGCGAGGACGCCGATGAAGATGACGGAAAGATGAAAACGATATATATATATATATATATATATATACGTGTGTGTATGTACGTGCACGTCTGTGTATGTGCGATACATATATGTAACTGCAGTAATGTTCATATGTTAATAGTTTCGCGGAAAATACTGCGCGCATAATGATGACGTAATCAGCGTTTACACCTCATGGCGAGAAGTGAGAAACAGCAAGATTTTGAAGGAAGGTTTTTGATATGAGATGAAGACGGCCCACAGTCGGTTAGTGGTCGATTTATATGTTATTGTTGATGCACTAAATATGTGTAAGAAACCGAGAATACGTAAAAGACTGAATGTACTGTATAAGTTTAGAAATTACTTGTGTAAAGATTGGCGAATCTGAGACGTTGTGTTCTCGCATGCATGGGTATGTGTGCGTGTCGGTGCGCATGTCTGCTTCCATGTGTGTGTATAATTGCAAGTTTACTGGAGTGTATCTGCGTGATCAGGTTCTTGTGTGTGTACGTTTACGAGATTGCATGTATCATGTTTGTTATATAGACAGAAAATGAGACCAAAGAAAATAGATGTTAGATCAAGAATAATATGTGGAAAGAAACAATAACTAGATACTGAAACTATTGTATTTTACTATCATTTCAGTTGACGGTTACAGTTGGTTCTTTGCTAGACCCTATGGAGAACTGAGTGTGATAATAAATCAGCTGTAAGCAGTGAACTTCAAGGCGAAATCTTCGTTTCATAATTTACTATGGCGACTGAACTTGTTCAGGAAACCCCTGGGGCAGTTACAATATATAGGATATATA